GGCGCTCGCGCGTGGCGCGCGGCCGTGGCCGCGGCCGCGGCCGCGGCCGCGCGGAGGCGGCTCCGCCGGGGCCTCGCGGCCTGGGCCGCAGCCGCGCGCTGCGCGCTCCGGCGGACGGCGGCGCGCCACGTGGTCCGCGTCCAGCAGTCTCGCGGCGCTCGCTGCGGCGGCCGCGGCGCTCGACGCGCGGCGCGGCGCGCGGCGCGCGGTCGCCGCCTGCCGCCGCTGGCGAGCGCCGCCGCGCCGCCGCCGCCGTCGACGCGGCGCACCGCCGCACCGCGGCCCGCTCGGCCGCGGCGGCGCCGACAGGCGCGACCACGCGCGCCGCGGCGCGACCGCGCGCGCGAGGACCGCGCGGCGCTGCGCCGCGGCGTCGCCGCCGCCTGGATAATTCCGCGGGGTTTAAAGACGGGTCGGCGGGACGAGTCCGCGCGTCGCTCCGCCTGGCTTCGGCGCCTCCGGCGCCTCCGGCGCCTCCGTCGCCTCCGGCGCCTTCGGCGCCTTCGGCGCCTCTCTTTTTTTTCTTTTTTTTTTCTTTTTTTCTCCTCGCCACTGGCCCCACATGAAAAAAGTGCCGTGTTTCAGTGGCGCTAGAACTAGAGAATCTCCCTTTCCGCGGACCAAAATACCCCAAACTGGCAAGTGAACTCCCTCAAGATAAAATTTTAGCAAAAATGCAGTCTTCAGGGCAAACTGAAACACCGCCGCTTACCTCGCCAGCTTGCATTTCAAGCTCCCTCATGCTATTTTGAGAAAGCTTGAAGGGCAGTTTACTAGGCTAGGCAGTGCCAGTGGGGGAAATTAAATCGCAAAATCGTAAGGGGTTTGGGGTATTTCGGCTCCGCGGAAGGGTTCTGGAAGGGTTCAACGTTCTGAAGGGCTTCTGGCACGTGGTTTGGGGCGGTGTTGCAGTTCGCCCTGTCTACGCTCTGAGAACCGTTTGTACCAGCGAGCCATCGTGATGTTGCGCTCTATCTCTCTAGAAAGAGATGGCCATGGACCGCATGTCTTTGTGAATTTTTGTGTTTTAGCGCGTTCCTCCGATTCCGCGCGGCGCGCGGCCGATTTCGAGGAAAATCAAAATCACTCAGGCTCCTTCCACCGAGTGAAAATTAGAAGCACCCCTCCCTCCCCTGAAAATTAAAATTCACCCCTACTTAAATTAAATTAACTCCTGCTCCTGCTTCTACTGCTGTGGAAGCCTGGTGCAGTGGTCATCTAAGCGACAGA